TTTCTTTCTTTGCCATCAAAATAAATATGGAAATGTGTCATCACTTGCAGTTGGATAGAGTGAATACTATATTTCCGTGAAAAAGTAAACTTACATCAGTGCAAACTTTTGTAGGTCTCAGTCTACTGAGGTCTACTGAATTGAACTTACTAATTCGTGCAAATTTGTGCAATTTCTTACAAARTTTTTCCACGGGTATATGCTATGCACTCCAAAACAACGCCTCTGAATTGGGTATTTATTCTGTATAAATTAAGCATGAGGATGCACGCAGAAGGGGGCACTGTGACCTACAGCAGTAAGCGCCAAAAGTTGATTACATATTGGCGATAGTTTGGTCGTTCAAAGCTTGCGCCGCTCTTTGCTATGAATCATTTATACTAAAATGAAATTTGGAATAATATGAATACCCAAATGTATYGAAATGAGAAATATTAAGATTTATAAGCCATTATCAGTGCAAACTGCTCACRCTTAATGGCACAGGGTTAAAGATAAATTTCAAGTCTGAGTATTTTCCAATAAAAAAATTAAAATAATAATATTGAATTCGAGTTATTAGAACATTTCAGTTTAGGAGTTTGTTTTATGCTTTCATTGTCAGGAAATATAAAAATTATGCGACGAACGTTATTCATTTTTCGAATCATTTGTCCGTCTATATTTATTCATTTTATTTATATTGAGACAGTTGTAGGTTTATTTATTAATGAAAAGCTGCATAAGTGTACTATACGAAAGAAAACACTTCCAAATGGGTCTAGTTAGTTTCCTAGGTGATAAATGCAATCAAGAACCGAATTTCACTTCCATCCGCTCCACATATCAAAAAGATGAATTATAGGACTTCAAGAGCAAAAATCGATCAATCACGCTGGCTAAAACTGTCTTGTTACACCAATTCTACCAACGTCTACAAATTATATATCGTTAATTTCCTTATAACCCTAGATTAGGATAGACTGAAAAATCCCTATGCGATTGTCAGAATTAATTTCCGACTTCCATCGCGCTTACAAAAGACTCTTTTATTAAACATAATCCCAAAATAAAAAGGATTTTGCGGGAAGTTAAAGAAATAAGAGCCACTCAAGAATTCTAGTACATTCTTAGTTTTGACATTTGCACTGTTTGACACGCTAATATTCTGGATCGAATCTTTCGTTTTTTTATTTAGTTTTTCTTTCCTGGTGTATTTTATACCTTGGCCTCCATTATATTAGAAATCATTGGATTATTAGTAAAGAAAGCGTGCTGTGAGTCGTTGTTACAGTTATCTTGTTATGTTAAAGTTAAACTATAGAAAATGTGGGCAGTAAAACTTGATTATTTCATGCTTAGGTATGATAGAATTAAAGTAGGTTTAAAAAGATGAGAGTATGTGGACCGCAACACTACAACTTACCTATATTATCTTCTAGGTTTAAAAAGGTCGGGAAAATATCAAATTTCATGGTCAACTCACCCAGGAAATCTTTCTGCGCCGCTGACATCAATGGTGTTAGCCCATGTTTATCCATCACTTCCACAACCGAGTTATTTTCCCCTAAAATCTTTTTCACTTGCTCAATGTCTCTGTTTCCGACTGCTCTATGAAGTTCGGCTCCTGAAGGAGGTTCTTTCGCTGTTGTCACATGCTTCGGCTGGCTCCAGCGAGCGCTTCCATGGCCTAAACCTTCTTCCACAAATCTCGCACGACAGAGGTATTCAGTCTGTGGTTCGAGCCCCTTGAAGACATGATGCTGTCCGAACCCTTGGTAGTTCGTTAAGGGATCTAGAGCAGGAGCTCCGGGAGAAGGGCTTCGAGATCTTGCCTTACTCAACTGGATGTGATATACATTCTTTTTCTTGTCATTATTGTTGGTCTCATCCCAAGATAGTTCGATACTATTGTAAGTAACTTTGCAGATCGTCAACACCGGGAATGCCATCATGATGGGCCGGTGATCAAGAGGATTCCGTCTTTGCAGCTTTGTCAATAAGTATTGTTTACTTATCAGTGCTTCAAGTTTTTAACGTCAAACGACCCCAGTCCTTAGCAAAAAATTAAACCAGCTCTAACCTTGATTCTATAATGAGTTGTGCTCTGGTCGAAACCTCAGACCTCCAACACAACGCTATTGCTCTTCCTTCTAATTAAGAAAACTCAATTAGAATCGTTAATAACCTTTAATTTTACGGTGGCTTTAAGGTCTTTGTACTCCAATCCAACGGTCAATACAATGCTCTAGATTAACATACATTCAAGCGAACAATGGCTGCTAGACTGTCTGCTCTCGCAAGAAATACGATCTTGAAAAGAATCTCAAAAGATTAAGAGATTGCTTCAAGTCATCAAGCTGCATCATGTAAACGCGCGCCCTAACGCCTACAACTTTTTTAATAACTTGAATCTAGTTTCATTATTTTTTAGCATACGTAATGAGTTTGTCTTTGAAATGCACTGTGTTAGTTGTTTAGTATTTTTGAATAAAGGATATTATTTGACAGATATACATATTCCACTCTTGTTTGCTGAGACAGTTAGTAATGTCAATGGGCTTTCGTTGTATTTCCAATATTGGTCGCGTTTTTCTAGTCTTCTCTTGGCATTATTTGTATTTATACTTTTAACTATATATGATATATATATTAAAAACGGTAAAGAAAATCCTTGTTTATGTGGGTTTTGCATTTCTGTTAATACAATAGAAAAATCCACCTGCAATTAGCAATTGTCTTTTTTAACTTCGGCGGAAATATACAAATAGAATACGATAAAAGTTTTGTAAAATAAGTTAATCTGTGAAGAAGTCACAGGAAATGTTTGTAAAATAAATGAATATGTGGGGAAAAGTGTCAGTTTAAATCAAAACATGTACTGAAACTTAAGTATTTACGAACATTAATTTGTACATTTTAGCTTTTTTATGTGTGGAGTTTTGTTGGCAATGATTTCGATTTCAATACACGCGATTTCTATGTAATAGTACAAAATATTTTTGATACACTTATTTCAATAAAGTTAGTCGCCTGAAAAGCTACAAAGCTGAGACCAACAAGGATTATGGGTAGTTACATTTTACATGTTTCAACCGCTGTAATAACTGTTGATGGATTTTAGATCTTTTACCAGTTACAGTCTCACCTCTTCTGAGCATCCTCAAGCTGCAAATTGTATCAAAAGCTTTACTTGTTTGATATTAAAAGTTTCCCATGATCCTCAGTGATCTCAGCTTTCTAGGTTTTTTGGTGACTAACTTTATTGAAATAAGTGTATAGCTTTATAAGTTTCATCAAACAGACTGCTAGATGTACGGACTCGAAATTTCTTTTTCATATTTGCTGCAAGACAAACCTCTTTATAGCAGGCACTCTGTATTAATTGGGAAACCAGCTAGGTCCTAAAATTGTCCACTTAATAATAGAGGTACCACAGGACTGTATTTACTGTAAAACGAACCTCTATATAGTGGGCACCCTGTATTAAGCGGACACCAAGTAAGGTCCCGAAGGTGTCCGCTTTTAATAGAGGTACTTCTGTATTTACTGTAAAATGAACCTCTATATAGTGGGCACCCTGTATTAAGAGGACACCAAGTAACGGTCTCCAAGGTGTTCGCTTAATACAGGTACCACTGTTACACAGTTACAAAACGTTATCCTCATAAATATGGAATCCTTTTCTTCCATTTTTAGACTGCAGTCAAAAGATATTGATATTATCGAGCAGAATAGAGCTCAARAAGTTAGAGCAATGGAAACAGCCGTGCAAACCAATGCAGCGGACAAAGATGTTCATCTGACTGCAAGTCCTTTACGATGTGGCGCAAGTATCTGGTGTCCACGACGCAGATGTCGATTTTTCAGGTATGAAATGATTGATACTGAAATATGGTACTGTGGCACAACCGCTTGACCTAAGCGGTACGATTGGCATATAGCAAGTTAGTACAGGTTATAGCATAGTTTTAGTAGTACTGAAGAACTGGTACGCACAAACAAATGTAGCTTTTAAGGGGGGAGGGGGTGGTGACTGCTGGGAATGGTGTAGTGTATCATGATCTTATTCGTCGATCTCAATATCTATGCTCTAAATTAGTTGCTAGCAATATTTAACGGTTAAAATTGCGATATAAAGATAGTTATGAAACTAGTCAAGGTCTTCGTATGGATATTTGGAAATATAGTACTTTTGTGGCATTCTAAACGCCCAAGTATACTAAATAATGAAAATCTATTCATTCTAGTTTACTCATTTCAATTCAAAGTGGCCACTTGACTCGTGTTTCCTGCACTTTACAGCCATTCTCAATCACACGCGCCGATCTAGCGATTGTTTCTGTCGTGACTAACAGGCTTTAGGTGGACGTCAATCAAGGCGTTTCCATGACATTCTATAGGCACGTGCCCTTATAGCTTTGTGTTTTCCGACAATGCTATAGAAACGCCTTGTGATTGACGTCCACCAAAACCTTCTTCGTCGCGACAGAAACAATCGCTAGAGGGCGTGTGTGTTTGAGAATGGCTTTAAAGTCGGCCAATCTCGGAGAAAATTTCTAACACTCAGCTAGTTCTGGCCATGCCTATCTGTCTGTCGTGTTTTTTCTTATTATTTATTATTTATATTTTTTATGCGCTTGATATGTATTTATTTTTAGAATTATCACCATTATTTTTCTTTCAACCGGATTATTCTTCCGATGACACAACTGTACGTCCCTTAATCAAGAGGTGACGTCATAGGTTAGTGACGTCATGATTGAGCTGAGTGCTATGCAAAGTATAGCTATGACATAACCATCTATTAAACAACCATCAGATATATCAATTATCATTATAATTTCCCCAGGTGGGTACGTTTCGTGCCTGTACCGTGATAACTTCCAGTGGTTTATATACGCAGTGAAATTACTCTACCAATATCGTACAAAACACATCGTTTAAATGTTTAGACTAAGGTCAACGTCGAACTTCGCATGAGTCAAACAATTGACATAAATTATTCATTGTCATTAATGCGCACGTCCCATCTGGGCTATAAAGCGCATGCACTCTTTGCCGCTGAGTAGAGCGAAGCCTCAGAATTCGAACTTTGCGAATCCGTGCCCGGCAGTCTGTAATCACGAGAGAACATTTTCCTTGTCCGAAGTTGAAGCTATTGCTGATACTATCAAGATGATTTATTAAGCGAGACTTGTTTCATGAATTCATGATTTTTTGCAGATGTCCTTTTTCAAAACATGCAGCTAATCATGCGGCTGTACCTCCTAAAGGCTTTTTAATTTTAAAAGCGTCTAGAGATTTAATTTGCTGTTATGAACGGAAGAACTTTGAAATGAACTGATAAGCCCAAGTTTGCTGATGGCTGGTCAGATTTTACGAGATCGTGAAGCTTGTATATGACTTGTGCAGTCGTTACCTTTGATTCTACTTTAAAACTATTTAAAATGATTTTTTTTCGCAATTTTTAACTAAACAACCACAAAGAGGTACAACCGTTTTTCTCTGGTTTCTCCGGTTTGAGATTGTATATTCCATACCTACATTATCGCCACTCATATGATATCTGTTACGAATTCCATTTAGGTCTGTTGGGTTAAGTCCGTGCACTGACTTAGATCAGCCCAAAGGTTGTTTCCGGGTTCGATGAAGATTTTTTTCTATTTAAGCATAAATACTCCTTTTCCTAAAACTATGCTACATTTTTTTTCTTGCTTCTTCCATTTCTTTTCCTTTCGCGGATGGTTTGATATCTCCATTTTTTATAAACTGAATTCAAGTTTCTATGGAAGGTCAGAAACTTTCTATCTTGGAAAATTTAGAAATTGTACATTAATCTCGTTACATATGCTAAGATATTTTTCACTTTTTCACTCTTGGCGAGGAGGGGTGGCGAAAAAATTAAGGGAACATGGGCCTTTGACAGCAACCCAGCAAACTGTTAGAAATCGTACATTAATCTCGTTACATTTGCTAAGATATATTTCACTTTTTCACTCTTGGCGAGGAGGGGTGGCGAAAAACATTAAAGGAACATGGGCCTTGACAGCCATCCAGCGAACCTCTAAGATCTGCAGCTGTCTTTGGAAGCGAAGGAGAAGCAGGACTGGACATGTAATTTCGTTTTTTAGCCGTGAAAGGGAAACAAAGGGAGACAGAGTAAGTTCTTATCATTCATTAAATTCCAATCAAGGTCAATCTTCATTTCAGACCTTGAGCATCACTAAGAAAACCATAGAAATGATATTTTAATTAGAAATGACGTGTTTGCGGGGGACTGAATGTGTCCCGGTCACCTCCCCGCCTGGATAAACAACATAGCAGTGCATGAGTCCATGCGCGCGAGGATCCCTAGCGTGCAAGTACCTGAACCGTGTACATTAACAAGTCTAATGAACTGATAATGTACTAGCTTAGCATGACAATCTTTGAAAGTAACAGCACTTAATGAATATTTGTCATTATGAAGAGTAAATATCAGTGGCAGGTTAACTAAGCTAAGGCTTAAGTCAGTTATAATACTACGTTTTCTTGCTGTAACAAAGACCTCTAAGCTTGTTCAGAATCTGAATGGCCTCTTCTATGGACAAGGAATCAAAATCAAGGCCTAAAGGTGATGGCAGTCTCGATCAGAAAATCCGTAACATCGAGAGGTTTTCAAAAAAGAAACCAGCTTCAAAACCAAATCGGCCTTTTTCGGCAACAGATATAATGTTGCTGAAGCCTTACGATGAAGAGGAAGGACATAGCAGCGCGAGAGCATCACCGAGGAAGGAACTTTTAAAGAAATATTTGCGACCAAGAAGTGTAAGTTTCCACCCGGATGTCAGACTCTTCTACGCGTCCACTACCAACGATTTAAACGAAGTAAAGACGCTAATCGAGGCAGGGATGGCTGATGTTAACGCCAAAAACCCTGCTGAAGGAGCCAGTGCGTTGCATGGTGCAGCCTTCGAAGGCAATGATGAGTGTGTCACATATTTACTTCAGTCTGGTGCTAGAGTGAACTCTAGAGACGACGATGGTTGGACCCCACTTCATGCAGCAGTATGCGGGAAAAATATCAAATGTGTGGAGTTGTTATTAGAAGCGAAAAGCAATTCGTTCGCAGAGAACTCTGATGGCTACACACCGTTTCAAATGGCCATAGAACTAAGGGATGAAAAACTACTTTCGTGCTTTTTCAAGTATATTGGAGACATGTTTGGCGATAAAACGGTCCCTGAGACTTGCGTATAAGAGTGATTAACCATGTGTGAGTTTTAATTGAAATTTGGCACTCGTTCTTTTCACCTTTTATTATGACGACAATTACTGAGCAAATAAATCCGAATTGAAATGGAACGCTATGTCGAGAAGTTAACCAAAACAATCCGAACAAAATTTGTTTGTTTAACCTGAGTCACTCGCATAAGAGCGAATAGGAATCTTTTTGTCAAGTATAAAAAAGATTATGATCAGCGCTAAGAAACATTAGGAGGATTTCGAATGTCAATCAAAAAATGTTCTTAATGTTATTCTGTGATTTTCTCTAATACTTATGAATATCCAAAGAAAGAGCGGCGTAGAAAGTGCTTATGCTTAATGATCGTTTCGTAATTTATTAGCCTGAAAACTTATCAACCTTGAAGTCTGTTTTATCTGCTGAACAAAGCTATTTTAGTATGCATTTTGACCGCACAGAATGGCCCAGAAATCCGACAAAAATCCGACAGAAATCAAGAAGCCCCACCGAAAATCTTAAGAGATATTRATTATATTTTGAAAACGATCTCATTATGAGTGAATTGGTATATTTTGTCTTGTAATTTCTAGAGGTCAAACTGAGACAAATTTTTATTCAATTTAATTCTATTATTAGTGCAACGCTCTAAATATCTAATAACAGTCGCGGTAAAGGTGGATAAAAAGGTTTTAAATCCTTGTTGAATATATATACATATCCATTATAACGGTTTTTAATTTTAATATGTAGACAATATGTCAAAAGCTTTTTTTACATTCAGTTGCTGTCACATAAATGGTGTTGAGTCAATGGTGTACTGGTGAAATTTCTGTCATAGATTAATGTATAAAAGTCTGCAGGTCAGCCTGTAAATCTGTAATATTACCAGAAATCAGGGTTATTTTTGGATGACCCATTTATCAGTTGTCAGTTCCTTGATGGATATGGTTCTTAAACGCAGTCGCGGGTCAGTTTAGATAAATATTGCCAATAGACCGTTAATTACTGTCGTCTGTGTTAAGCATTTACTCAACTCTCTTACCCCCTCTCTCTATCGGTGAAGTAGACATAACTCTCAGTCTCCACCATCCCTCAGTGGAGTGGATATAAGCTTCTACTCACCCCTCCCTCTGTAAGGGTAGACATCAACTTCTACTCACCCCCAGCTCCCTTTGTGGGGGTAGACAGGAACTTTTTCCCTTTTAATTTCTAATTTCTCGACATAACTTTTGCTCACTCTTTCCTCCGTGGGGTGGACATAAGATCTACTCACACCTCTTCCAATGTGTGGATAGACTTGCACATCAGACACTAATTATTTATTGACGGGAAAGCATTTATCTTCACCAACGAGGCGAATAAAAATACTTCGAAACAAACAAAGAGAAAAATAGTTACCTTCATTATCATAGCATCGTTAAATTTTTTTCGAACAATTTTAAAATATATCCTCAGTCTGTGTATCAAAAAAAGCTATTTTCCTTAGAAGTACGCTGTCAGCATTTTGAGATGTTTATTCTCGTGGACAAAGGAGAAAGTGCTAGACATGTCAAAACTGTCTAGAGTGGCACTCTTTCTAAAGGATCGAGCAGTCTAAATAACCAGTATCTCAAAACAATAGCATTCAGAAATAGGAAACTGAATTGAAAAGGTTTCATTGAACCTTGGCATTGTCATGTCATGGCATATCATGTCGAACATTATTGGAATAAAAGATGCTGCAATTGCACTATTTTATAATGACGTCAAGGTTTGTTTACATCGGCTAAAATGATAGAAATTTAGGCTACATTTTAGCTCAATTCTCTTCTATCGAGATATTTAGAGTAATATTTAGTTGTTCTTGCCTTCACCAGCTCATAAACCAAATTTCTTTGTGATTTAAGATATGTTGTTGTCATTCCATCCCAATCCAGCAACCATGATCCCTAGCGTTAAAACAATAGTTTGTTTTGATGTGACGTCTTTGTGAAATAGGGCAATTTACTGGCATTTTGTACTCCAAACCCTTCGTTGCTGAAGTAAAAGAAAAAAGAACCTATAGGAATAGCTGTAAAAATGTTACTTTCAAAGGTGACCGGTCACTCCCCTCTAAATCGGGTCYTGTTAGATGAAAATAGTCACCTTCACAGTTCCCTGCGCCATCTTGAAAGGTAGTCGTGCCTGTGCATCGAAGTGAGAACAGCGGTGACCTTGAAAATGATAGATACATTTTCAACACCTTGGACACTGACTATTCACACGTCTCTATCATTGCCGGCAAGGACACCACCGTCCTTCCTTTGATGCGAAGGCACGGTTACCTTTCAAGATGGCACAGAGAACTGTGAAGGGCACTATTGCATGGTTTGACCTTATCAGCAAGTCATTTCCTGTTTAGGATATAGATCAATACTCAAGATTGATAATCTTTCCAGGTAGATTACAAATTATAGTGTCACAGTTAGTCTTCCTAGAACATTAGAAAGAATTAGTTAAATAGGCAAGCTTGCAAAGCATCAGTCTCTTTCTTTATATCTGCAGCCTTCATTCCAATTAAAGAAATTAATGCTGAAGAAAAAATTATAAGCACCAAATAAACTTTCCAGGCTTACTGAAGAATGTCTGTCCACTTTTCAAGTTATTCCAGTTTTATGTAGTCTCATAGTCCTATTGTAATGTCCTTAGATTATGTGAAGCTTTTGTCATCTGTTACCTCATAGTCGTGTTCTATAGTCATGATAAACTTCTTGCAGCCTTCTTGTAGACTTATAGGGTTATAGATAAAGTCTTGAAGTCAAAAGTGATGGGAAACTTTTTGCAGGGTGACTTCTTTTCTTTATTTTCGTATGTTTCTGTGTCCTCTGGTCCTTGCTCACAGCGAGACAAAGATAAGAAAAACAGAGCTGAGAGACATTGCTGAAACCTTGAATAAATGTATTTATTTCTCAGGGACCTAGGGACAAGCTTCGTGGATAATAGGGATGAGATGTGATATGAGCGCGGGAAAATTTCCTTCTTTGCACCCACGCCCTCTTCCAAGATCTGAACATCGCTTTAACTTTTAAATATTTTTATTATACGTTCAAGTACTACTATCTTAAGATACCAATAGAATGCCTTCAGCTTGCCTGAGTGATAGAACCTGCAGTTTTTTACTGCTGCTGTATTGTTGCTGTATTGTATCGCGATGGAAAGGCCAAACCGTTGCGTGACATTATCTCGGTAACGCTTCGAGGGATTTTCCCTAAATGATATCACATAATATATTCATCGTGCCAGCATTTGTCAGTTGTATAAATTTGGTGTTACCAAGTCATGACAATGAAATAAGTATTCCGTTAACTGCGTTGACTAAGATATAATAAGAAATTCTCTCGATATTTTCCTTACAACATCTTAGTCATGAGGAAGTCCACTTGCCTTGTGTCTGTTCTGGTATGTCTAGTAATACTATGTTGCTTAACAGAAGTCAGCTCCAAGTTTCGTTTAAGGAGAGCATTAAGAAAAGTCGAGAAAGTCGTGCGAAAAGTCGTCAAACCAGCCAAGAAGGTCATCAAAAATGAAATAGAGAAACCAATTAAGAAAATCCTAAAAGGGGGTAGGTTTGAAGAAAGTAAAGAAGACTTATGAGGAGTTCAAGCAAGAAGCCGTTCATGAAAGGGTCATTTTTACAGAGAATTCACATTGAGTGGAGAAGGTAACGCCATCCGGACATCATGATATAGTCAAACCTGAACAACCAACAGAATCATTTTGAAGACAAAGTTGTGATCTTCCAGGACAGATACTGCAGAAAGTTTGGAGAACACTTATGCAGTGAACCGAGGGAAGAGTTATAAGAAATATTGGGAAATAATTGATTCGTTAGAAAAACTTGGATTACTGGAATTCATTTAGAAACTCGATTCTTTAGTTTCTCTCTTCTCAAATGCCAACGAGTTTGACAACTTTGATCTATAGAATTTGTGAATGTTAATGTTTCTATTCATAAAACCTGAAAATCACGTTTCTCAATCTAGACCTCTCTAATTTTGATGCCACTGTTTACTGTTTATATAGAGGTACTTCTAGCGTCTTTTTTTTTTTTTTTTTTTTTTTTTTAACAAATTTTTTTTTTTTTTTTTTTTTTTTTTTTTTTTTTTTTTTTGCAACAAGATTCGATCGAAATGTTTGATAAATTTTTAATGAACTACATCAATATTGCTTCATTTCGAGATCAAAAGTAAATCTTTTGTTACTTGTTTTTTAATGGGCCTTAACGTTTACGCTAAATCGTGCTCGCGCTCCGGTACGCGTCGTCCTTCTCTTAACACTTCTCTCTCGTGTTCTGCCAACCCCGCGTGCTTTATAACTGCACACACCACGCGCGCGCGTTTTCTATTTCTTCATTACGTCATCTCCAATGAAATTTTTGAAATCCCTTACTACGTACCCCCAATCTCGATGTGTAGCGCATTCTTATATCGTTGCATATGATGTTATCTTCAAAAGAAATTTTTGCTATTGACGATAGTGGGCTTTAGATAATAGATCACTAGTGAGAATAGATCACGTCCGAGGGCCGTAAACTAGATAACTCACTGGGTTAATAGTCATCCTCTTTAGATAAAGTTTATTGTATTGTATTTTTTTAGATCTACAATAGTCCGTGAAAGTTTGTACTGCTTTAGTATGAGTTTGATCAGTTTCTGATGGATATGACGTTGT